ATATATATATATATATATATATATATATATATATGGCTGTTGAAGCAATGCCCAGAGGTTCAGCTGCAATTGGTCTGGGGTGGGGCTTGGTGGCAGTGTTGTTCAAAGCTCTCCAGGTGATACTAACGTGGGGCCAGAGTTGTGTGTCATTGTCCTGACTCCTTCCAATGTTGGCTTATCTACTAATGGGCTGGAGAGGTGATGAAAACACCTTTTTAGAAGTAACATGACCTTAAAGTGATCTAAGCAAAACTATTTAGCTAGGATCTGCAGGGCTCACGCAGGCATCTGAGATCTGTGTTGGGGTCCCAAGCGCCTGCCATCTTGGCTGTGTGACCTTGGTGAACTGGAGCCCTGGCTGGTGGCAAGGCGTCTGGGAGCTGAGATGAGAGCTCCTCCCAGCAGGAACTCGTCTTCCCTGATAGCACAGTGAATGTGTGCAGCCAGAGAAATGTTTCCAAACCCAAATCTAAACAGGTCACTCTCCAGTGGCTCTCCAAACTGCTCTCAGGATAAAAACCAAAACCCCTAACCTGTCCTTTAAGGCCCTGACTTGCCCTTCTAGCCTCCTCTCTCCAGGCCTCACGCCCCTGCTGCCTTCTCCCAGCGTCATATTCTCACTAACCCCTGGCTTGGGTCACTCCTGCATATCTTTAAATCTCTCCTCAAGCATCATTTCCTCATACTCAGTCAGGCTCCCTCTTCCATGGTCTCAGAGCACCTACCACTGTTTGACGATGGTGCATTTCTCTTTGTGCACACTGGGTATTTTCCTATTTGTGCTCCATCCATTCTCCTGCAAACCACATTTTTCAGGCTCCCTTGCCAGCAGTCTCCAGAGAGGTCTGCACCAGAGGCAGCACAAGAGGGAGACCTTTGGGCAGTGATTCCAGGGCAGCTGCATTCCCTTGCTCCCAGTTCCTGCCAGCTCTGTTCTGTGCTCTGTCAACACTCCCCCACTCCATCCCCCACTCCCGGTTTTGTCCATCTAGCCCTGGGGTGGGAGTGGTTCCTACTGTGGCTGATCTCTACATTGTCTCCCCAACCTCCTTTTGAGTTTCCAGCTCTCCCAACATATCTGTAATTACTTCCCTGAGTTAAATTCTTTCTGTTGGACTACCTGGCTTGGGCTCCGGTTTCCAGTCTGGACCCTGACTGAGACAATGACTTACCTAATTAGTCTGTTTGCTAGTAACTAACCAATTTCTTTTTAAAGAAACATGCATTGTTCAGTTCCTCTCCCTTGCCATGCCAGGCTTGCGATGCCCTAGAGTTGAGGTTCTCTGCCCTCTCACCTCGAGCCTGGTCCCAACCAGCTGCTAGGCCCAAGTGTGACCCAACAAGGGAAGGAAACCTCCATCCCAGTTCCAGAAATTGGCACCACCTAGCATCAATCCCTCTGGCCCTCACCTTGCACTCATTTACCAACTGATGCTCTGCCTGCAATTCTGTTCTGGTGACTCACCTAGTACTGCCCCCCTGCCCAGATGTGGGTGCTTCCCAAGCTCAGCCCTCCCTGGTCTAGTGGCTGAGACCCTCTTAAATGCCGATCTCCCTGATGCCCCCTGCCTGGATTCCTGAGTCCTGTTTCCTATCAAAGAGCCAATTCATATGTTCTCACCACCTATTGAGACACCCCATCACTGTTGCCTTCCTGCCTCATCTGCTTTTGTCTGAACACACTCTGCTTGGACCCAATACATATGGATCCTGAACCTGGGACAGTTGCCTTGCCCAGCATGTGTCTATGGTAGGGTCTGCCCTCACCCCTACCCTCCCAGCCCAGTAGGCTAGGCTCACCCATCATTGATGATGCAGTTCCTGTTCTGGTGTGTGTGTGTGTGTGTGTGTGTGTGTGTGTGTGATGAAAAGGCAACTATGTCCTAAGGAGAGATGCCAGTCATGAGGGATGTCTACTTACATGGTGATCTTGACTGAGGAGGTGACATTGCTGCTAAGGAAGGTGACCACGATCCTGGTGTCCTTGTTTCTTGGCTTCTGCAAGTAAAACTCCACGAGCCTGTGATGCACTAGGAAACCGAAGCAGAGCAGATGACTGGGACAGAGGTCGATGAGCGCAGCCCCCCAAAAGCCCCAAAGAGCAGCAGTGTGATTAGGAATCTTGGCTCTACTTCTTAGTAGCTGTGTGACCTAGAGCAGTTACCTGTCATCACAGATCCTCAACTTCCTCAAGTGTAAGCTGGTAAAAATTAAAATCGATACTCCATATTTATCCAAAAAAATCCCAAGACATTAATCCAAAAAAATATATGTACCCCTATGTTCATTGCGGTGTTATTCACAATAGCTAAGACTTGGAAACAACCAAAATGCCCATCGGTAGATGACTGGATTAAGAAACTTTGGTACATTTACACAATGGAGTATTATTCAGCTATAAAGAAGAAGGAAATAGTACCCTTTGCAACAATATGGATGGAACTAGAGAACATTATGCTAAGTGAAATAAGTCAGTCAGAGAAAGACAAATATCATATGATCTCACTTATACATGGATTTTAAGGAACTGAATGGATGGGAGAAGTGGATGGAGATAGTCTCAGAGACACAGAGGAAGAACTGAGGGTTGTTAGTCGGGAGGGGGTGGGGATGAAGGAGAAGGGGAAGGGATGAGACAATACAAATTGGTAATTGCAATATGGCCTCAGGGATAGAAAAAGATAGTCTGAGGAATATAATAATGTTGTAAATATTTCTTAGGGGGCCAGATGGACTCATGTCCTGTTGGGGAGACCACTTCATAGTTGATGTAGAGGCCTGACCACCGCATTGTATTTCTGAAGCTGATGTTGAATAATATTGTATGTCAACTATAATTATATATACATATAGTCTCAGGACATGGAGTAGAGAGTGGGAACGGAATCAATGAAATTGTAATAGATAAGCATGATATCGGGGGTGGGAGGGTAATACATGGGGGGAGGAGGATTGTTACTTTGTGAGGGTGAAAAGGGTAACTATTGCTTTGTTCTGTACACCTGAAACTAACAATAATAAAAATAAATAAGAAAAAAAAATAAAAGAATCTGATCAATAAAAAAAACAAACAAAAAAACTCTACCTTTAAAAATACATCTCTAAGATTTTATATGTGTCCTCAACTTGTCTTGAAGATGAATCAAAAGTTAGAGCTGCTTAATATTTAAGAAAGAAAAGTAGTATTTATCTACTTTTCTAAATAAATCTTAGGAACTTATTTCTCAGTTTCTGGATTAGTAATTGCTAATCAAGAATAAAGTTCCAAAGGATATAGACTATTTAGACTATTATAAAATTCTATGTTAGAATGGCAAGTAAATGCAAAAGATGAGTTATCCATCGTTGGTTTCTATGTTTATAAGCAGTTATTAATTTTCCTATATATTTTGGGGGTTTAAAAGAGATCAGTTGAATTTCTACCAAAATAAATTTGCTTAGGAAATAACTCATCAACTTGTTATTGAATTCAACCAAAATGGTAAATTCTTTAAAATATCCAGTTATTAACAAATAGCTTGAATACATTAAGTGGCATGTTCCCAGCAAGTCTGTGTGTATAAACATAAATAAGGTACTTTTGGAGAAAATACAACGTATATGTTTGTAATAAAAATTACATTCCAAAAAAAAAAATCGATACTCCAGAGGTCTCAATGAGAAGGAAATGAGATAGTACATATCAAGTCCCTATTGCCCGTGCTTAGGAAGCATTCAATACGTGTTTGTTTTTATTATTATTTGTAATGCTAGATGTCCTGCTCCTCCTTGTTTGGTGACATTATCTTGGTGGTGTGATTTTGAAAAAAACCTAAAAAGATCTATGTTAGACTAAATAATTGACTCACAAAATACAGCAACGCCCCACCCCCATCACACACACAGTGTCAGGGAACCCACTCGTGTGCAGGAGATGACTGGCCCCTTCCCTGTGGCCGCTGGGTGCCTTACAGCATCTCCAGCCTCCGGGGCAACAGCGTGGACGCTGGGGCTGTCAGAGCCGGTGTCATCGACATCGACTGGGTGAGCAGCCTGCTCATGGTGATACCCCTGGAAAGTGCTGTCCCTCTGGCAAGAGGTTAAGGAGCACAGCCTCCCTAACACCCCATCATTTCCTTATGAAGGGGTAGGCGCATCTGGTGGCATTTGGCAGTAACTTTGGTCTTGGAGCATTTCCACAGACTCCTTTGGTAATTGGGACAGAGCTAAAGAGGCAATCCTTCACCTTGCCCCTATCTGTACTTTCTCATTTGTCATGTTTTATGGGCGAATACTGGGGAGCCATCAAATGGATTTAGGTGGACTCAGCACTAGGTTGGAGGAGTGGTGTGGTCCCTCTGGGCGTGTGGGGTTAGTAACAAGACTCAGGACAGATGCAAGATACCAAGAGCCCACCAGAAGAAAAGAGAGAACCCTGTATGCCCCCCACCCACCCACAACTCACATACCCAGAAGAAAGTGTCACACCCCTTCCATCTCTCTTTCGCAGTGGCTTACTATGGGATAATTTGCTGTGGTGATGGGCAAGGCTGAATTGAAGTGGGTAACTGCAGTGTGGAAAAAATAGCTAACTTACATGAGCTTTAGGAATTGAGTTTGGGCTGAGTTTGATATATTATATTGCTTCTTCATTGATCAAGAAAGTTTCCTAAGGTTCTACTTCCTTTTCTACGTTATCTGGAAGCCCCAAGAGGGCCAAGTCTGCCAATGTTGGGTCGGTGGGACCTGGTAGTGAAATCCAATTTATGCAGGAGAATGACATGAGAAGTAGCACACAGAGCCCTGGACGGTTAGACAGAAGACCCGGATCCAAGGCCCAGCCCTGCTGCTGACCTGCTGTGTTGCCTTGCCTAAGTCACTGAACCTCTCTGTGCCTCAATTCCTTCATCTGTAAACAATGACCCTGGCATCACCTCATAGAACATGGCAAGGAGTAAATGAGGTCCTAGAGACAAGGCACTTTGTGTGAAACATTGTGCTACAAGGGAAAAGTAATAGTGTTAGAAAAATTATTATTTGGAGAAAGTTCTCTGCCCTGTTGGTGCACGCCTGGCAGAGGTCAAGGGCAGCCATTGTCCTAGTGAGCACGGCTGAGGCCCAGTCCAGAGCCATGATGGCCTGGGAGTGGGTGAGAGCAGGGAGTTGCCAGCTGCTGGCACCACCTGAACTTACCAGGGAAAGACCATACTCCAGGGACAGGGAAGGTCACAACTTGGATGCTCAGAGCAGAAAGTCCAAAGCATGCAGGTAAACATGTGTTCGCACTGGCTTGTATCTCTCTGTGCCCCTCTGAGGTTTTTGAACAGACAGGACCATGTTTCTGGGAGCAGGGGAGGGGGGTCTCACAAAAAATATAAAACAGTCGGAAAAATTATGGCTGCATGAGTCTATCTCAGCAGAGACCTTAAAATGCCTGTAACTTTCAAGTGCTCCCCAGGCTCCCTGCAGCATGTGTTTCTAGCTGTGCAAACAGAGCGGAGCCAGTTCAGGTTGCCATGAAAAATCAAATCCAGGTTTGTGTGACCATAGAATCTGAGCTTTGGGCTCCTTATCACACTGTACCAGGTCTTCTAGTACCAGGAAGGTGTGGCCAGAAAGATCCCTCCACCAACCAGACACAAGCGGATCAGAAAATCAGTTAGAATTAGTGTGGTCACATAATTTATCATCCTAACCAGCGTACTTTTGTCCTGTACACACAATACACCAGATGGAATCCCAGGATAACAAGCATAATCCAGGAAGTAGGGTCACCCTAGTTAAGGAGCAAATAGCACAGGGAAAGATGACGGTTCAGCCAGTCATGTACTTCACAGATTCTAAGATATGCTTTTCTCTCACACTTAACACCTTTCACAATCACTGGCACCTTAACTTCAATGAAATGCAGTGGTTAGAAGCAACGGCGAACAGATGGAATATGTATGTGAAGGCAGAGAGTGAGGTTCAGTATTCCACAGGGACCCTGACCTAGGAGGGCTAACAGGGTAGGGGACACATAGGATGGTCACCAAAGAGGGGAGAGAAAAGCATGCAGGAAGGAGGAAGCCAGAGGTACTTCCAAATAGCACTCTAGAGAGAACCCACACTGGAGGGCACATGTCCATGGTGGGTGGGGAGGAACTAGGGTCAGTATATAGACAGTAAGATGCTCCCATGTCCTTATCCATAGTAAAGTAATGGGTTGAACTAGCTTTGAAGGTTCTGGTTTTATCTGAGGCCAGTAGCAGCTCTGCCCCACCCATCCCATTATATCTGGGCCCCACTCCTTCACCTTCCACCTTGGCTACCATGCTGGGCTGCACACAGCACAAGCTGGAACCCTGGATTCTGCTGGACAGCACATTGGCAGAGAGGAGCCATTCATTTTTCCCCATACTCACCACAGTATGGAGCCCTCGAAGTGGTCAGAAGGTAAACGCTCACTTCCTTGGGAAGTGGCTCTATCTTGACACCACCTTGTTCCACCAGGCCTGGAAGTCAGGAAGCAAAGACAGCAGAGCCTTCAGGAGGCCATTTCGGGGTCCCGTGGCACCCAGCCAAGTACTGATGAATTAATGCACCCATTCATTCTACAAACAACTACACCGCATGCTCATTATGTGCCATGTCCTGTGGTGAGTCCCAGGGTACATGCAGCTCAGTCCAGCAGGGATAAATACATAAGTAAACAGGAAGTACATTCTTTTGATCATCTGGCCCATTCTTAGGAGGTATTACTAAGACATTTGAAATTATATCTCCAACTTGCAAAACAATCTACATGACAGTTGGTTTAATGTCATTTGTGTCCTGTGTAGCAGGAGCACAGGGAAGCGTTTGACCTGAAGAACAGTGGCTGACAAGTTGAGGAAGGGCGATCTGGGCAGAGTACAGTTTGGGCAAAGGCGGGAGGAAACATGAAATACTCGTGGGAGTACAGGGAGTCAGCATCCCTTGGGCGTTCAGGGCCAGGGAAAGGGTAATGAGAGATGAGGCTGGGCACTGGGTGAAGTGGTTGTTACACCAGCCGGCCCATCACATCTGGGAAACCGTGCCATATGCCCAGTGAGTAGGAAATAATGTTGATTTGCTTTCTTTGGGGAAGCTAGCCCTACCATTTTGTCAAGCTAGTTTCCGTTTCATTCACGGAAGGCAATGACCGGCTGCTACAGCTCTGAGTGGCAGCCTGGGGTGGGAAAGTGAAGAGAAGGAAACATTTACGCTTCCCAGAGGTTTTTCTGGTGCCCTTCATCCTGGATAACCTCAGGATGTGCCCAGCAATTATCTGCACAGGTGAGTCGAGGCCAGACCCCTCAGCCTTCCCGGAGCCTTTCTCCCCAGACTGGCCTGGGTCATGCAGGAATGTGCCCAAGCCGACCGGCAATTAGGCACCTCTCCAGCTGGCACATGGCCACCACAGCCTCACCCCTCTAAAGTGAGCCATGTGTGCCATGCTTGGAGACTCCCCCACAACACCTTGATTTAGGGTCTATCAGGAGTCTGAGAATGGCCGGCCAAGCTAGAAAGACCTATATGAAGTGTCCAGTCTGTAATTGGGGGCAGGGGCTCTGGAGTATCCCAATGTTTCCAAAGCTGGACACGCAGGGGAGGGACTGCGTGTGCAAAGGGTGTGTGCAGAGCAAGTATGGCATCGAACAGCAGCATAAAGGGTGAAGGGTGGGACACAGAGGGCCCAATGCCATCTTCCGGGTATGAAGAGGCTGAACAACTCAGTGGTGAAATTTTCTTTACCCTAGTTAGGTACATTTCTTGACCCTAGGAGGTCAGGAATTAAAGAGGTGACACCTAGCAAGACTTGAACTTTCTGCAAATTGTCAAAGAAAGCCAAAGGGGTAGGATTTACCAATCCTTGGACAGGAAAGCAGAAAAGGATTAAAGCAATCCAGACAGTGTCCAGCAAGGAAGGCCTTGTAGCTGGTGCAGGGAAAGGCCATCAGCGGACAGGGGTTCTCCAGGGCGCTGATATAAAGATGCACAGCCCTCATGTGATCACAGATCAGATAACTGTAGCCTGAAAAAGAAACAAACGCAGCCAAGGTTTCGTTTCAGGCCAAATGGAAACTCCCTCATGCTACTTACTGTAAACCTATTGAATTTTATATTCCAGCAGGTTATAAATACATGGGACGTTCCCTGAGCCACATTTAAAGAATATTAATGAAAGGAAGACCCTCTGTGGCCCACACTAGCTGACTCGACACAAAAGCTAATGGTGAATTCTGGTCCCTGAGGAAGCAAAATTCAAATTCTCTCTGGCTTTCTGACCTGCGTGAATAAAGCTAGGACAGCCAGGTTGGTCTTGGCCTCCGTTGACGTAGTAGTCCACATGTCCGACAGGAATCCGAATGCCCAAATCTGAAAGGAGGCAGAACCTCGTTACCTTCTTACTGCAGAGGCATATTTTCCAGGTTCCATAGCAGGGTCCACTGGCAGCACAGCCTGACCTTGGGATGTGACCTTGAGAACCCACCCACTCTCTGTGCTGAATGGGTGCCCCCTCACTCCTAAGTGCTGTGAGACTGTAGCAGTAGCCTTCAGTTTTCTAAAAGGGGTTTCCTATGCTGAAAGGAAACAAGTTCATAAGAGGATGCCTGCCTATATTTGCCTAACAAAATCAAGAAAAATACCCCTTAACATAAGTTTCAGTAAATCAATAAATGTCATAAGCTTGGCAAATTTCCTCATGGAACAGTTTCTATTTTTCTTCCAGCAATAGTTCAGATACATATGCTTGGGGCCACATTTCCACATTCTCCCACATATTTTTATGCTGTCCTGACTGAGCAGAAATGTGACCTGGCTACAAAAAGATGAGTTTGAGAGACTAGAGACTTCATTTTATCATTGTCACTATATCTGACCCCTCAGACTGGGTTAGATATAGTGGGTTAGATATAGCTGCCAAAGACACTGATTTTCTCCTTCATGTCATCTATCATTACTGCAAGCAGTTTATTGTGTATTATTTGTTTAATGTCATCTATCCAGAGGTTAAGCAATGACCTAGAAGTTATCCTTGACTTTAGCCCATTACCTGTCTGGTCAGCTCTACCTCCAAAATATATTTTGAATCTTGCTACTTCTGTGTCTCTACTGCCACCACCCTCGCCCAAGCCACCACCATCTCTCACCCAGACTCTTAACTGCAAACACCCTCTAATGTACCACGAGGATTCCCTTAGTGCTCTCCTGCAGTCCATTCTCTGCATAGCAACAACACTAACCTTTTAAGGAAACCCAAATTGCTGCCCTATTCTCACTGACTGCACAATAAAAATTTTAACGCTTATGAGTTTTTGTTTTGTTTGTCTTGTTCCTTTGTTGCTTTCCATTTATATCTCACATATCAGTGAAATCATACGATTTTCGACAGACAACAGTTTAGTGGTTACCAGAGGGTAAGGGAGGACAAGGGTGGTAGATGAGGGTAAATGGGAGTCAAATATATGGTGATGGAAGGAGAACTGACTCTGGGTGGTGAACACACAATGTATATAGATATACACATGATGTATTACAGAAATGTACACTTGAAACCTATGTAATTTTACTAGCCATTGTAATCCCAATAAATTTTAATTAAAAATAAAATTTTAACTCCTTGCCTTGGCCAGTCTGGTGCTTCTCCCTCTTCTTCAACCTCACTCAGTGCCTCACTCACTGCACTCTGTCCTGTCCCCACCCATGTCCGGGCTTTCATTTTGATGTCCCCTCCACCGAGGCCCCACCACATCTGGCTTTTGGCTGTTCTCTCCACTTAGAATGTTCTTCTCTCAGCTCTTCTCAGGGGTGATTCATCCAAAGACTCATCTCAAATATCATATCTTTGGATAGACTTTCCTCAGTAATCCTATGTGCAGTAGACCCCTCCTGCCCCTACCCTCTATCTCATATCCTTCAGTATCATAATCGCAATGTGTAATTATCTTGTCTGTTTACTTGTCTGTAAGGTCCACAAGAGCAGGGCCTTTACCTGTCTTTTTTCTGCTATATCCTCAATACCAGCACAATATACAGCACATGTGAGTGCCTAATACATATTATTAAAGGAATAAATGAATGAACGCTTGCCCAACTAGCCTGTAAGTTCCAAGTGGGCAAGGACCTTATTTGATGCCTTGTTCACTGCAGTATTCTCAGTGCCTACTATATAGCTCCATAAAGATTGATTGCCTAAATGGAATGATCCTTTTTTCCTTTGGCCACATGATGAAGGGGCTCCAATTTTGAAGGGCACTAAGAGGCCTAACTCAGGTAAATAGGGACCTAATAAGTAACCTATTTAACAAATTAGGAACAGAAGGATGTTAATCTTATTACTTAACCCAGCACCTCAGAGCCTGTGGGTTTTGGTTTCCTGCCTGTGAGATAAAGGTGAGAAAGGGGGTTGAACAATATGAACTGCTTGATTTTCCTCCAGAATCATGAATCTGTGAGTACTGAATGCTAAAAGAAGGTTTCTGACCAAAGGGAATGAGACATAGACATCTCTCACTTAAACTTGGGTAGGGACAGATGTTATTTTTTCTCACATCCACCACGGTGAGCACGGGCCTGGCGCAGACTCATGGGCATTTGATATGCAGTCAAAATGAGGAGGAATGATCAACCCCTTATCCAGTTTAAGAAGAGCTTAATCTGGTCGTAATAGATTCAGAGTTGGGGGTTCTTTCCTGTGCCTGTCACCATTGGAGAGAGGAATTCTCATTCTTCACTGGAGTGAAGGGTTGGGCCCATTCCCCTGGAGGCTGAAGAATCTTCCCCAGAAGAATACTCCAATCTCCTGGGGCCAGGCACATTCACCCTGAAAAAGCAGTACGACTTCCCCATGTCAGCCAGGCAGCAGTGCCCACTCTAAGCACGAGGGTTAGTGTTAATCAGAAAGTGAGACTTTGGTTCACAAATGAGAAATCTCCTGCCTGCTGCTGGCTAAAATCAAACCAGTCATCTCAGTGGTCAGAAAATGACAGAGCTGGAGGAGAATCACAAGATGCTGGGAAACTCACTATGAAACAGAAGCTCACAGGCAGAGGGAATCTGCCCAGGGCTACACAGCTAGATGCCAGCTCCCTCACCCCTGCCCTGCGTGTATTCTCCCACCCCAGGGAGGTCTCCCCAGCTCACTGTCAGCGTCTGTGTGAATGGCTTCCACGAAGAGGGCGTCTCCAGGGTCTAGGCGCTCCTCCAGGCTGGCTCTGGTGTACTCCGGTCCAGCGGGGTCCAGGCCTGTGAGGACAGACTGATGTGAAGCCACCCTGTCCTCTCGGCCACAGGAACCTTCACTGACACAATTGCACACCTACTCTGGCAGCCCTTCCAGTTCAGAGTCCCCCAACACGGGCCCACAGGTGGAGAATTAGCTCAGGACCCCCACACCTAGGAACCCCCACTTTGTTGTCTCTAACCTCCCAATGACCCAGGTTCGCTGGCTCTAAAATGAGCTTGATTACACCAACCATTTGGGAAGCGTTAATGTGATTAATAGTAATCCTCATGTAGTAATAACAACACCTATAATTTTTTGAGCAGTTACTATGTGCCAGGCCTTGTGCTGGGCAGTTTTGCATGCTCTAGTGCTCACAAGAACACATTAAATAAATAGTACCATCCCCAGGTCTTTGTTGGATCCTTTTCCCTCTTCTTCCCAGAAAGCTGACCCAGAGACAAGGATTTAAAACGCAAGGAGCTTATTTGGAAGATCACAGAAGGCATGCTTAGGGAGTGGGAAAATGAATCATAGAATGAAGGGAAATTTTAATGAGTGGATTATCACTTTGGGCAAGTGGGTCCCACCCCACTGGAGCTCCTCTGAGAGGACTGTGTAGCACGTGACTCAGAATTGTCCTATTGGAGGGTATTTGTCACACAAATCTAGCCCATGGTTGATTGAGGGTAGCCCCTGAAACAGAACACATACTGCACTTTTGCAAACATTTAGCATACTGTTTAAAGGTGATTTCCACAGAGGGCCAAGGAGATATAAGCTGTTACAACCCATCTTACTGTTAACCTAAAAATAAAAGGCCTTTCAAAATAAGAGACAACAAGCATTTATTTGAGATAAAAAAGAATAGCTAACCAGGATTTTCTGGTCAAGATGGCAGAGTAAGTAAATGAGTGGTCACATCAAAATTACACTAACCTACAGAGCAACCATTTTGGAGAATCTCCTGAAGTTCAACTGAACAGAAGTCCTACAACTGAAGACACCAGCCTGGTAGTCATAATATATCTGCAAATTTCTTGTTATCTTTGCAAACAGTTCTGTGGGACACGATGTTGCTTTAGGCCCAGCCCAAAGGTTATTTTGCCCTGTTTTAACATTCCAAGGTTTGAAACATAAGATGTGCAAGGCAGTTCCTTTAGGATGGCAGCTCAGACTCCATTTTAAAGTGACTCCATCTATTATTTTTTTACATTACAGATGTAGAAACTGAGGCATAGAAAGAACTATATGGCCTCTTACACTGACATTAGAGATCACACAATAATAACACAATACCATTTTATGCAAAAGGGCCACAGTAGATAAATTTTAGTGGTCACAGATGACTCAATCATAACACCAAAGGCTCCACACTCCCCTCTGCTTGCCTCAGCAAAGGCATTTCCAGGGCATTCTCTCTCTAGCTCTAAACCTGGGAGAATAAGCAAGGAAGAAAGAGTGTTACCTGTGATCCATCCCAACTGGCCTTTGTAGAAATGTCCCACCATGCCCCCAACGTGGGCCCCCAGGCTAACACCAATGATGTGGACCGAGGACTCCGACACACCCAGCGCCTACAAAGGGCATTGATAGTGAATTGCATTTGAGCCCCAGCTGCCCCTGGCCTCACAGGGTCACACTTTCCCCTGAGGCTTTAGCAGAAAAGGGCCCTGGGTATGACATACCCACCACACATGCTTGTCGGGGAGGGCAGATTTTTCATCTCGGTAATCCTTTGCCTTCTCTCTGGGCTCCCCACCTTGAAAATCCCCTCACTTTCCCTATGGTGCCCAGTGTGTGAGTCATGACCACAACCATGCCTTCTGAGGGAAGACTAAAGCCCGCCACCGGTAATACCCCATCTGACATCCAGTGCACAATCTACAGAGGAGTAGGGGACATTAAGAGAGGTTCCATGACCTGCCCAAAGCCAGCACATAAGTGACAGAGCTGAGATCTGAACCAAAGACCAGCAAGCCACTGGCTCTACTTCCACCCTAACACTTCCCCTCAGGCGTCATCTTTTTCCTCTTGACCCCTCTCCCCTCTATAAGCAGCCAAAAATCACGCTGGGCTTTTCTGCACATACCAGAAGTTTACTGAGGAAACGGGAGATCTCAATTCCCAGCTTAACGACATTTTCCACGGCTGAGTAGTAGACACCTGTAGACCCATACACCCAGTCCACGGCAATCACGTTAGCGTCTGCTGACCGCAGAAGGGCGCCGATGAATTTCTCAATCCAGGAAGGCTTTGTTCCTAAAGCCCTGACATGGGCCCAAGAAAGTATAGAAAAATTATCTGCCAAATCCATTTGCATTGTCATGGAGACCTCTGTTAACAGGATAAACTCAGGAAAAAAAGAAAGTCAAAACTAGGGAAGGGTCTGGATCTATGGGCAGTAAATCACGCAGTACTCTTGAGTATAAGCAGGACATAATCCCAAAGAGACCAGGGCCTCTGCCTGCACACCTGGAGCCTTTGTGTAAATTATAACAGGTGCCTTCTGTCCAGGTAGATGTAGCCTTATGCCAGGGCTCAGAACTCAGGCTGATTTCAGCCCCACCAGCCCTCAGGCACCTTTGTGTGGTGCACAGCTGCAGAAACGACATGCACTGACCCTGCTTATGTTATTCGTGGGAAAGAAAAGATAGCTTTGTATGAAAGAGTTAATTCTCACTCTAGAATATAAGTACCTTCCTTGAGCATGTTTTCATTTGTTCATGCCTTTATTCACTCCTTCATTCATTCAACAACATGGGCAAGGCAGTATGCCAGGTGGTTTGCAAGAAATAAAGAAAAGTAAGATATAGTCCCTATCCTTTTGGAACTTACAGTATAATAGCACTTTTCTAGGGAAAGAAGAACGTTAAAAAAGTTTTAGAAAACTTTCTTCTCTAGCGATTGGGATCTGGAAAAAAGTTTTCTCAATGGCCCATAGCACAGGAACAATGACAGCAATGATCATAGGGACAGATGAGTACAGACTGGGCATGTGCATGACATGTGGCTATGGGGGATCTAGGAGCACACAGAGTGATGAGCTCCCAGCTCTATTAGCTATCTCTGGGTTGGGGATACACGCTCAGCCTTGGATAGACGCTAACTGTAAGACTTGCTAGGGGAGAGATTTTGGCACAAGAGTGAGGAAGGATACCTAAGAAAAGATGTAGCTGGGTCCCCAGAGTCTAGAGATTTGAGAAGCAGAGAACCCAGGGATGAGGAAATGACCATCCTCTGTGCAGGGCTTCTGTGCTCATCTCTTCATCGAGTGCCCCAACTCTAGTGGTTCTACAGTGCCACTCTTTCCCCGCATTCTCTCCCTCTTTCCTTTTGGCAACCTTCCCGTTTCTGGCCTTGTCAGTGGGCTTTGGAGAGAAGATACTGGAAGGAAGGATGGGGATTAAACTGAAACTCAGTGACTATGCATCACAACAAAATTTGGACCACAGGGCATCAAAGAAATTGAAGAAGGGAAGTGCCTAGTTCCTGAGAAACACTAGCCTCTGGGTATGATGGAAGTAGTACCCATAAGTGGTAGTTTCTTAGATCATGAAATCAGAGAAAAAAGTGAAGAAGAAATAAAATCCTGGATAAAAACACCATGTTATTACTCCTGAGTGATGGTACAAAGCCTATGAATTCATTGGCTGAGATGGATGATACAACCCCACGCTTCAGGAAAGAATGAATCACTGAGGCCATCTCTACAACTTTCCTTTTATTCCAGCATGGAAACCATGTCTCTATGGGCTGGAGTGATTTTTCCAGATCACATATATTTACTGTTTGAGAGTGTGTAGACAAGGACTGAGAGGAAGAATAACACATACGATCAAGAATGAACCACATAATGTGTATGTTCATGTTGATATGAGACACCTTCAAAGAGAGCAAGAAGCGAGGGATGGGACATGTGACAGTCAGTAAATCCATTTCTCCTCTTACTCCCCCGCTAACTTCCTATGGTTACTTTCTAGTTCTCAGTGGAGATGATTCTATTGATTGGTTAGCTCCCACCTGAATCCATGGATAATTAGCTTGGTTCCCAGAGTGGCATTGAACCCAGAATGTTGCATATCACTACTTTCTTCAACGAGCTTCCCACAGCTAGGGTCCAAAGGAGTGAAGAGGAGAAACTGGACTTTGAGAATGGTGCCTTGGAGGAGATTGGCATTTTGGAAGTCAGTGCAATTCGGCTGTTGTGTAGGAGATGTATCTCCTGGAGAAAAAAACAAAACAAAACAAGAAAGATCCAAGGTGAAGTCATCTTTTCTTAGAAGGAAGAAAGGTGTTCTTGAAAAGAAGAAAGAAACAGGGACTTACATTATAAATCAGCCTAGTGCAATAATCAGACTCATTTATTAAAAGCTGCATCATTTCTAAAACAAAAACTTGTGAATATTTTTCATATCTAAAGATAAAATACCAGGGCCGGCTGAATGACGTGTTGGTTAGGAGTTGGCTTGGGACACCAGCTCTGAGCAGCAGGGCCCCGGTTTAGATCCCACATGCGGGCCAGTGACACTGCGCCCTCTACAGCTAAGATGGTGAACAACAGCTCGACCTGGAGCTGGGCTGCTGTGAGTCGCCAGCGAAGGCATAAGCTGCAGCCTCTGCTGCAGTGGGCTGCCATAAGCTACCGTGAGCAGCCGGCAGCCGCCATGAGTGGCTGGCAGTGCCAAGAGCTGCCAAGAGCCTCTGTGAGCGGACGCGGCGATCGACTGCTTCACCTGGGAAGAGCGCAATGATAATACCAACTTGGGCCAGTGAAACGACATCCTCCACAACTAGACTGAAGAACAAAAGGACAGCAACTTGTCTGTTCCCCTCCCCCAATTCCCCAATAAAAATCTTTAAAAATAAATAAATAAATAAATAAATAAATAAATAAAAATAAAATACCAGAGACAAATATGAATATTGCTCAACTAGAGAAGTTCAAAGGCCATGGTGAAATGGACATTGTTATGGGCTAAACTGAGTCCCCCCCCTTCTGCCCCGCTCACCACCCATAAATGCATGTGTTGAAGACCTAACCCCCAGTACTTCAGAGTGTGACTATATTAGGATATAGGGTTTTCACAGAGGTAATTACATTAAAAACGAAACCATGAGAATGGACCTTAATCCAATATGACTGGAGTATTTATAAGAAGAAGAAATTTGGACACAGACACAGAAGAAAGACGATGTGAAGACACATGAAGTAGATGGCCATGTGTAAGCCCAGGAGAAAGGACTTAAACAGATCCTTCCCTCACAGGCCTCAGAAGGAACCAATCCTACTGCCACCTTGATCTCAGAGTTCTAGCCTCCAGAACAGTGTGTCAATAAGCTTCTGTTGTTTAATCCACCCAGTCTGTGGCACTTGGTTTTGTTTGGCAGCTGTTGCAAAATAACACATATTTCTAAAAAGAAACCTGGGCAACAAAATGAGCAGTTGCTCTGGGACTAAGCTCACTCTGGTCTGAATAGCCCAGTTCAGCCTCCTCAATTCTTGTCCTTATGAGCAATCCAGAGCCACTCCAGAGCCTCCCATGCCCAGTCCATGGCTGCCTAGCCAGATGTCAGAGAAGAACCTTAACAAGCTATACCTACTCTACAGCACCTCACAATAGATGCCTTTAAACAGAATATTTCATGGTCAAAGTCATTAAAGGGCCTTTTACAATAATGAACCTAGAAAGGCGGCATGAAACTCCAACTTTCCAGGGAGCTGAAAATCTGGCCCATCATCAAAGTCCAACATCCCACCCCCGTGTCCGCATCTTGGTAAACAGGTATGGCACCTGGTTCCCAGCACAGCTCACAAGGAGGGACCAGCAAGAGCAGCAGGCACACACTAACCCATGATACACGGCCCAGCCATGGTGCTATTAGCTGCTTCCTCACATTACTGCCCTGGTACAAAGCCACTTACAGAATCAGATGACAGGTCTAGACTGCAGACTTTGGTTTCTGAAGGCCCCTTTATGAAGAAGACTGCAATTTTAGTTTTCTGGAATGGTTATCTGCCTTCAGAGGTAACTGGGGAGCACATATACAAGAGGCACATGGATCTGTGGTGCACTGGGATGTGGTACCGTGAGTGGATTGTGGGAACCCTACCCTTAGAGAGTACAGAGGCACACCAGCAGTTTCACCATCTCTGAGCCTGAGCCCCAGATATGGTCCCCAAACCCCTTTGCATGTCCCTGCTGAACAGCTAGGTCATGAAGCCCCGTCTGAGAGTGCAGCCCCACACCCCTCAGCCTTCAACCTAAGCTCCCACAGTACATGAGAGAGAAAGGTGTCTGTTTCTACTACCTCATCTGCCTTCCTCAGTTGCTGGCTTTTTGAAGAAAAGATAAAAGGAGTCTTCCTGAGAATAAGACTTTACCCACATAAATGAATACTTTACCCACATAAATGAATGAATATATCGGTCATGTAGAGAAGCCTGCAACCATCAGACAGAGAATTAAGACTCCTTTTAAATGAGCGTTGTATGTCAGAAAGCAAGGCCCAACAAACATCAAAGAATCAATGTCATCCAGACATTATCTAAATAAAATGCAATCAAATTATTTTAAAATACATTTGGAGATTTTAAAAAGCCCTCTTGGGTTAAAGAATAATCACAATGGAGACTAGAGAATATAAAAAACCAAGTGACAATAAAACCAATACATATAAAAACGAGTAAAGTAGCTAAAACAGCACTGGGGGTATATGCATAACCTTAAATACAAATATTAGGCAAATAAAGGGAAAGATATAGATTGTCTTATAATTCAGAGAGTTGAAAAAGCACAGTGCAACAACTCCATATAAAATACATGGAAAAAACTATAAAGTAAACAGTTGAAATTTTAAAAAATGAAGAAAATGACATTGTTAGCAACACAATCAGTTTAGTTGCTCAGGCCCATCTTCTTGGAGACCTCATCCCACATACAAATGGTGAGTAAATCCTATCGGCTTTCCCCTCGGAACAAGATATTCAGGATTAAAACATTCTTACTACCTATAGCAGTTTTCCCCCTTCTACAAGGGATATGTTCCAAGACCGCAGTGGATGCCTGAAACCGCAGATAGTACCAAACCCTATATACTATGTTTTCTCCTATACATACATTACTATGATAAAGTTTAATTTATATATTAGGCACAGTAAGAGACTAACAAACCATAACTAAAAATAAAATAGGAAAATTATGACAATATACTATAATAAAAGTTATGTGAATGTGCTCTGTCTTTTTTTTTTCCTCTCTCTCAAAATACCTTGGGCTGGCCGAGTGGCGCAATGGTTGGGAGCTGGCTTGGGATGCCAGAGGGCCCTGGTTCGGATCCCATGTATGAGGGCCAGTGACACTGCCCTCTACA